GGGATGTCAGAGCTTGGAGAGGCCTTAGAACAGGGGATGTCAGAGTTGGAGACGCCTTAGAACAGGGGATGTCAGAGCTTGGAGGGGATTTAGAACAGGGGATGTCAGAGCTTGGAGGGGACTTAGAATAGGGAACATCAGAGCTGAGAGGGGTCTGAAGAAAGCAATTCTCACATTTTTTGGTCTCAGGACTCCTTTTTACAAATGCTTGTTTACATGGGTTATTTCTACTGACGTTCATCGTTTTAGAAATGAAAACATCTTAGTACTATTATAAAATATTTTTGACCTCATAGCCCCCTTTAGGGGTCTCAGGGACCCCATCAGTCCGTGAGCCACACTTTGAGAATCATGGATCTAGCCCAGCCCCCTCATTTCTCAGAAAAGGAAACTGAGGTGCAGAGCAGGGAAGCCTCTAAGCCATGCCACACTGGCTTCCTTCCTCCCCTTGGAGCTGTTCATCTGAGGGGTCTTTCACTGTCAGGACAAAGATCAGCCAGGGCTGAATGGACTGGAGAAGTAGAGGAGAAGGAAGCCGGCAACAGAATGATCCCACCCTAACAGAGAAAGCAGGTGGTCCTGGGAAGGGCGGGAGCCTGGTCCAACCCCACCGGCTTTGAGCCACTGCTCCCCGTTCCTGCAGGCTGCACCTCCCATTCCCAAAGGGAGAAATCCGGGGACTGGGTGAAGCCCGTCATGAAAAGTCATCACGGTCACAGCCAGTGTGTGAGCCCGGGGGAGGGGAGCCTTCACGCCTCCTGCTGCCACGCCCCGGACCTGGAGTGCAGGGTGAAGGAGCACGAACCCAAGGGCCCCGTGGAGAAGGTATAGAAACACTCTTGCCTCCCTTGCCCCTTGGACCCTCTGTCTCTTCTTCTTTTCCACCCTTCCTTGTGCTTTTCTTTCACTCTCCTCCCCTTGTTCTGTCTTTCGCTCATTCACATTGTCTCTCTTCTGCCTCTCTCCCCTCCCTTCATCATTCTCTATTCCTGTGTTCTGTTTGTTTTTTTAAACTTTCATTATGAACTTAACAAATAGTTGGGGTTCACACTTCAACATACGAGGAAAATCAGGAAAAGGGGATTGTATGTGAAACTCTGAACTTCTATTATATAAAACTTCTTAATCAGTATAGATTAAACTTAACCCAACAGGTCCCAAACTACGCTGCTTGTCCCTGCCCCCACTGGAGCTTCCTTTTGTCGCGTCTGTGTATTTTTGAGCTTTCACTGATGATATCTTCCTTGTTTTCTTTCTTTTTTCGTAACTATCCATTCTCTCTATTTAAGCTCTAGTCCTGTCTAAAATATATAAAAATCTTCCATATGTAATTATATTTGTTTTGTTTGAACACTATGCATGTATATATGTACAGATAAATGCCACATGTATGCACCTACACATATAAAACTGTATAACATAGTATACACACATGTATAGTGTATATATCTGTATTGTACATGTACACATTGTGTATCATGTGTGTATATGTTCTAATGAATATATATGTACAAGCACATATTTTGTTTTATTGCTTTGTTTGGTCATTTCAGACCTGTCTGACTCTCCGTGACCCCATTTGGGGTTTTCTTGGCAAAGATATTGGACTGGTTTGCCATTTCCTTCTCCGGCTCATTTGACAGATGAGGAAACTGAGGCAAACAGGGTGAAGTGACTTGTCCAGGGTCACATAGCTGAGGCCACATTTGAACGCTGAGTCTTCCTGATATCCATGGTGCCACCAAGCTGCCCCATGTATATGTGTGTGTATATATATATGTCTATTTGCATACACACACATTTTCAAGCAAAACAAATTCACACCTTGGCCATGTCTGAAAATGTTGGTCTTATTCTAGTCCATTGCCTCTCTACAAAGAGGTGAGAAGCACATTTCAGTAACAGTCCTCTGGAATCATAATTGGTTATTACATTAATCAGAGTTAAATCTTTTAAAATTATTTTCTTTTATAATGCTATAGTCAATATATAAATTGTTCTGCTCATTTCCTTCTGCATCAGTTCATACAAGTCTTTGAAGTTTTCCCTGAAGCTGTTCCTTTCATAATTTCCTTATAGAGTAATGATATTCCGTTACATTCACATACCATAATTTGTTCAGTCATTCCCTAATTTAATGGGCATTTATTTTGTTTCTGGTTCTTTGCTACTATAAAACATGCTGTTATAATGACACATAGGCCCCTTCCCTATGTCTTTGCTTCTTTGAAATATAGGCCTAGTATTTGTATCGCTAAGTCAACGGACATGATTTTTTAGTTAAGATTCCAAATTGCTTTCCAAAACTAATCCACAGCTCCACCAACTGGCCTTTAGCACAGCTGTCCTGCTGCAGACCCTCTAATAATCATATTTTACTCTCTTGTCATTTTTTTTAATTTAAAGAATTATATTTTTTAAATTAAATTTAATTTTTTTTAAGGCAGTTGGGGTTAAGTGACTTGCCCAGGGTCACACAGCTAGTAAGTATCAAGTCTTTGGTCTGAGGCTGGATTTGAACTCAGGTCCTCCTGACTTCAGAGCCGATGCTTTATCCACTGTGCCACCTAGCTGACACTCTTGTCATCTTTTTTAACCTGCTGGCTATGAGGTAGAACCTCAGAATTATTTTAATCAACATTTATCTTATTATTCATGATCTGGAGCGTATGGTTGTCAACAGCTTACAATTCTTCTTGAGAACTACCTTTTTATAATCCTTTGACCATTTATCTATTGGGGAATGGCCTTTATTCTTATATATTTGTATCAGTTTCCTGTATATCTTGGATATCAAACCTTAATCAAAAAATTTACTCAGAGATTTTCCTAATTAACTTTTTCCCTTTTAATTCTAACTAAATTGACTTTAATTTGTTCAAAAGCTTTTCAATTTTATTTAATCAAAATTTTTCCATTTCATCTTTTATAATTATTTTTATTCCTTTTCCTCCAAGAACTCTTCCCATATTCATAGTTGTGACAGAAATATTCTTCCTTTTTCCTATAGTTTGCTTATGACATGACCTTTTTCATTTAGGTCTTATATACATTTGGAATTTAATGTTGTATAAAGTGTGAATGCTGGTCTAAGGTAGTTCTACCAAACTTTTATCATGTTCCTGCAGCTCTTGTCAAATAGAGAATTCTTATCCTCATAGCTTGTGTCTTTGCATTTGCCAAATTTTATACTACCATATTCAATTACTTCTTTGTCTCATTTATCCAATCTGTTCCATTTCTCAAATTTTATTTTTTTTCTAACCAGTATGAAACAGTCTTGATGATTACTGTTTGCAGAGGTGGGGAACCTCAGCCTCTAGGCCACATATGGCCCTCTAGGCCCTTAAGTGCAGCCCTTTGACTGAGTCCAGTGTGTACTTGAGGACCTAGAGGGTCACATGTGGTCTGGAAGTCACAGGTTCCCCACCACTGGCTTAGAGTTAGAAATCTGGGACCACCAGGACCCCTTCTTTCTACTTTTTATTTCATATTGTCTCTGGAGACGCTTAAACTTTTAAGTTCCTCTAGATGAATTTTATTTTTTTTTTTAGTTCTATAAACTATCTCTTTGGTAGTTTGATATGGCACTAAATCTGTAATGTTAATGCCTCTGCAGTGATTTTAATCTTCTTTTGTTCCTATAAAGTGTCTGTAGTCACATTCATCTAATTCCTATGTGTGGGTCTTGGCTGCTGGACTCCCTAACACTTTCTGCATTCTGTAGTTATTTCGAATGGATTTTCTTCACTTGTCTCTTACTGTTGGAGCTCTCCTTTTATTCTTTCTCTCTTTTCTTTCCTTTTTCTTCCCTTCTCATATTCTCTTACTCGCTTCTCTCTCCTCAGCTGACTTCATCCTTCTCTCTTCCATCTTTCCTCTCTCCCTTCTTTCTCTATCATACGTCATCCTTCTTCTATTCATTCTCCCCTTCTCTCACTTTCCCTTCTTCTTTGCATCTCTCTCCCTCCTCTTCTTACCTCTCCTTTCTGCCCCTCTCCCTCCCTCTAGCCCTCCTTGTCTCCTTTCCTCTTTTTCCCCTCCTTCCTAACTCTCCCTCTCCTTTTTCCTCCCTCTCCCTCTGTCTTTCCTTTCCCCTTCTCTCTCCTGTTTCTCTCTTCAGTGACTTTCTCTCCCTCATCTGTCTCTTTCCTCCCTCCTCCTTTTTTCTTCTCCCACTTTCCCTCTCTCTCCTCCCTTTCTCCTTGTCTCTCTTTCTCTCCCCTTCACTCTTTCCCTCTTTCTCCTTCTCCCCCCCCTCCCTTCCCTCTCTCCTTCCTGCTTCCCCTCTCCCCTCCACCCCTCTCCCCAACTCTATAGCTGCCTTCAGTTAATTGCTCACAATGGCACCCTGCCTGTGGGGCTCTGCTGTGTCCGACATGGGCCTGGGCCATGGGCACAACAGATGCCGTACTGCATTTCCCACAGTGCTTGCTGCTCTCCCTGACAGGTGGCGGTGGCCTGTGAAGAAGGCTGGACGCTGACTGGGTGCAGCGCCTACTCCCCGGGCCCAAACACGCTGGGTGCCTACCCCGTGGACAACACCTGCCTGGTTCAGAGCCACGCTGGCAGCGGAGGAAGCCACCCGGCGGCCGCCATAGTCATCTGCTGTAAGAACAGACGGCTGCCCCAGGACCAGCAGCATTCCCAGTGACAGCTTCCTGGCAGGACTCATGACAGAGGGGAGGGAGAAGGATCTTCTGTGTCCTGTCTGTCAGGCCTCGGCCACAGGATGTCACAAAGACCCTTTTCTACTTCTGGATTTCCTCCTCTGATCAGTGCCTTGGTGCTGGCCATCGGATCAGCTGGGCTTTGGCTCTGGCCTCCTGGGACCCTCCTCGAAGGAGGGGCATCCCCCCCGAATCCAGGGCTCACGTGATGAGCAGGCAGCCTTGGATGAACCTCTGGGGTTTGGTGATTCCAGGGGGGCTGGGAAGCCCCTGGCACCTGCCCCATATTCCCTTCTCCCTCCCTTTCCCTCATTAGTGATTTGTTTCTTCAGACATAAGAAACTGTGCCCTCCTCACATGGAAATCTATCAGAGGTGGTAGGGACTCATGAAGCCCCTCATGTGGCCCAGCTTCAGTGAGCTGCCTACAGACCTCCTCCTACCAGAACCAGGACACAAGCCAAAAGAAGTGCTAGGCCGTACAGGGGGCAAACAAAGGGGAGATAACAGAAACTTATCTCACCTGGGAATCATAGAGTGTCAGAGCTGGGAGGGAACCTAGAACAGGGAATGTCAGGGCTGGGAGGGAACCTAGAACAGGGAATGTCAGAATTGGGGTGGGGGTGGGGGCTTAGAACGAGGAATGCTAGAACATACAGTGCCCTCTTTTGGCTTGTAAAAGAAGGGGGGGGTTCTCTACATGAACCCAGAGGAGTTTCATTTTAACCTTGACATTCCACAATTTAGACATTGGGAGCAGGAGATCCTCCAGGGCAGGGGAATATGGGGGGGGGGAGGCAAGATGGCCTCTCAGTGATTGCCATCTTACTCCCCTCCTTGGACTTGGCATCCACTCTCTGGGTCCCAGTTTGGCCATTCAAGCTGGGTTGCTTCTCTGAGACCCCCCGTGCTTCTCACCCCGTGCCCACCTCTGAAATCCTGCTTCAGCCCCACTGAAGCTGTATTTACAAGCCAGCCCCCAGAACAAACAAACATTTCCCTGCCTTTTCTTTCCCAGCTGACACCCAGGCTGAGGCCAAGTCCAGATTTGCAGGCCCTGCCCAACCATCTGTAGAGATGTTCTGCAGAGATGGATTTGAATCCAAGCACTTATTATCATCAATATCTGTCACTGTCTTTTCTGGCCCCACGAAACTTTGGTTTCAGAGCTTTCCCCCTTTTCCCACCATACTTCTTTTGTGGATGGCAGTGAGCCAGAGCAAAAAAGAGCACAGGCAATAAGACCCAAGGACCTGGGTTCAGATTTCACCTCTGCCCCTTACTGCCTGGGGGACTTTCAGCACATCCCTTCCTTAAAAGAGGATGTTGGACTAGATGTAGTTGGCCCTGAGGACCCTCGCCCTTGAGATTTATGATCATTTGAAGGTGGGGGGAAGGGGGGGGGGGGGGGGGGGGGGGCTCAACGTGGATAGATTTCAATAGATCCATGGACTTGGATGGAAAAAAAAATGTATCTTATTTTCACTAACATTTGATTTCCTTTGTAATCCTGTGTATTTTTATACATTTAAAAAAATTATTCTGGAATGTCAGTCAAAAAGCAGTTAAGTGTCTACTACGTGCTATGCAAGGCACATAGTAGGCCAGGCAAAGGCACAAAGTAGTCCCTGCCTTCAAGGAGCTCATAGCCCAATGGGGAGGCAGCATGCAAACAGCTACGTACAAACCAGCTATAGACAGACTGGATTGCTTGAAGGTGCCAAGGAAGACGGGATGGAGATTGGGGGGGAGAGTTTGCAGCGCGGGCAGACAGCTAGAAAGCTACTTTGACAGAAAGTTCAGTATCTCTTTGGAGGAACAAGGACGCAGACCAGGGTCCCCGGGTCACAGATTATGTAGAGGACAGGTAACATATACGAAGATTGGAAAGAGAGGGAGGGGCCAGGTGAGAAAAGGCTTTAAAAGCCAGAGGATTTTATGTCTGCCCCTGGAGTTTATGTAAAAGGGGGGAGTGACATGGTCAGGCCTGTGCTTTCAATCACCTGGGCGGCTGGGTAGATGTGGAGAGGGGAGAGGGGAGACGTGAGGCAGGCAGATCCACCAGTAGCCAATGAGATAGACTAGGTGTGAGGTGCTGAGGGCCTGCACCGGGGGTGGAAGAAGGCTTCCATGGGCCAACAGGGTCCAGGACAGAAAGAAGATAAAGTAGCCTTTCTCCCAAGGCAGTGAAGGAAGAGAAACTGTTCTAGGTCTCTGCAATGAGAGACCAGCCTTTCTTCTCTGGACAACTTGGAGGTTTCCCCAAAAAGAGTCTGTGCCTGCCCAAAACAGTCCTACCCATAGTTGAGGCTGCATCTCACTATTTCACTTAATTTTGTGAATCCTCCCTCTTGAAGGTAGAAATAACGAGGGTGTAGGGACTTGGGTCTGCTCATGGCTTTCCATGTGGCGTGCCTGGCCCTTCTCTTTCTAGCTCCCCAAGACAGGCTGGTAGAGCTCCCTGCAGCAGCTTCCTGGATCCTGCACAGTGTCAGCCCCAGGAAGGTGGCCTGCTTTAACTGACCCATCCCCAAGAGGCCTGTGCCTGAGCGTCCCATGGAGAGTGACTCATCTTTTCGTCCTGCCTTCACCAAGAACTCTAGAATCCATCAGAAAGCAACCAAGGTTGTGATTCCTTATTTGACTATGATTGGAAAATAGCATTTTCTATCTAAAAAGGAAAGCTCTTCCTGAGCTGGTCACAACTGCCAAACCCCCAGTCCCCCCAGTTCCTTCCTCACGGAGGCTGACTTTGTTCCAAGGGGCTCCAGGCTGTCACCATTCACTGTTGGCAGTCATGCTGGACGCTGCCAACCCTGCTCCCCAGCTCCCTCGCTCTGGCAGATTTTTTCTGAATCTGCTCTCCCTAGGATTCTGCTGGGGGTGTTTTGTATTTTTTTTTCATAAAGATTAAACTTTTCTAGAATTAGCATTTGACTTTTGTACTTGCAAAGTATTTATTCTGGATTTTGTAGTCTGTTTTATTATAGAGCAACTTTTAAAAAATAAAAACTTTTAATACGACACATAGTCTGTGGCTGATGTAGACCATGAATCTAGAAAAGGGAGAGGTGAAGTGGGGCTTGGGGAGGGCATGTATCTGTCAAAGAATAATCAAAGTTCTGATTTCCATCAATGGACCCCCCAATTAAGCATTTAAGTGGTAGTGCTAGGGACACAAAGACAATAATAATAAATAATAATAATAATAATAATAATAATATGTAATCCTTGCCTTCAGGGATCTCATATTCTATTCATAACATTCTGTGGTTTACAAAGTATCTACTTTACAGCTTGCCCCTGTGAAAGATGTTGCCGTGAATGGATGAAAGATAAATTGGTTATGTTTCTCATCACTTGTGATCTTTGTAAAGCCCCTTCTCTCTGGGCCAGAGTTTCCAGTGTAATAGATACGGCACTGCACTTGGGCTTAGGAAGACCTGGCTTCAAATCCTGCCATACGACAATACCTTTGTAACCCTGGGCAAGTCCCTGACCCGCTCTGTGCCTCAGATTCCTCTGGGATTCCTTCTAGCTCTAAATCTAGGATCCTATGGAATCTTAGGGGCAGCGAGAGGGCGCCATAGTGCACAGAGTGCTGGGCCTGGAGTCAGGAAGACTAATCTTCCTGGGTTCAAATCCAGCCTCAGACATTTACTATCTGTGTGACCCTTGGGCAAGTCACTTAACCAATTTTGCCTCGGTTTCCTCCTCTGTAAAATGAGTTGGAGAAGGAAATGACAAACTACTCCAGCATCTCTGCCAAGAAAACCCCATATGGGGTCACAAAGAGTCTGGGGACACAAATGAAGATCAACAACATGGAATGAAGGGGTTGGGCTGGAGCAATAGACAGTAAAGTGTAGAATGAGTACTGCCTTTGAAGTCAAAAGGCCTGGGGTTGAATCCTGTGTCTTCCAATTAACACCTATGTGACCTGAGCCTCAGCACCCTTATTTATTTATTTACTGATTTATTGATTGATTGATTGAGGTAGGCAATGGGGTTAAGTGACTTGCCCAGGGTCACACAGCTAGTAAGTGTCAAGTGTCTACAGTCAAATTTGAACTCAGGTCCTCCTGATTCCAAGGCCGGTACTCAATCCACTGTGCCACCCAGCTGCCCCAGCATCCTTATTTTAAGGGAACCAATGCAGTGGAGAGCAGGCTGAACTTGAAGACAGAAAGGCCTGGATTAGAATCCCACTGCTCATCATTCCACCAGCACCGCTGTTTCCAGAATTACCCATGATCTCTTCATGGCCAGATCCCATGGCCTGCTCTTAATCTTTCTCCTTCTTGACCTTTAACACTCTTGATCACCTTTGTCTACCGGATGCTCTCTTCCCTCTGGATTTTCGGGCACCACTCTCTCCTGGTTCTCTTACCTGTCTGCCCCAGCCTTATCCATCTCTTCTGCTGGATCCTCAAACGGGTCATGCCCACTAGTAGTAGGGGTCCCATATGGCTCCGTCTCGGGCCCTCTTCTCTTCTCTTCTTTCTCTATGCAACTTCTCTTAGTGATTGTATCAAAGGACCTAGTAGAATCTGAAGCCATTAAAACCGAAAGCTCCACTAAGACGTCCCAGACTCGCCTTTGCATCCCACCTCTCTGCTTTGCACCAGGCTAGGCCCCGTATCTGGGATGGAAGCAAACGGAGGAGCCTCTGGTAGACAGCTTTCTCAAGGAGCTTAACGGTGAAAGGAAGGAGATGTGGGGCAAAAGTCAGAGGGAAGGGTGGGTTTTTTGAGGGTGGGGGAGACACGGGAGGTTTTGTAGGCTGTAAGGAAGCAGCCAGTAGACAGGGGAAAAGAAAGTGAGAATAGTAGAGAGGGAAATCTGCTGGAGAAGATGGGAGGAGGAATTGTAAAAAAACGCTGAAATGAAATAAAAATGTTTTATGAACTATCTTGTGAATGCTGCTTTGTGTTCTGATGAGGCTTGAACATCAATCTCACACTCGACTGTGATCATAATTATACGTTAAGTCAATAAACATTATTAAGCACTTCTTACTGACCAGGCACTTTGGAGACAAAGAAAGGCACAACATAGTCCCCTCCCTCAAGGGGGTGAAAATGTAATGGTTGAGACACTGTGCAATTATGTGAAAACAAGGACAGGCAAACTTCGAGACATGCTACAACAGAGACAGGAGGTAGTATACACCAGGCAAGTCAAACCACCACCACCATCACCCAGAAAGGAAGGCTCTAGCATTAAGGAAGACAGGGACCGGTTTCTTGCAGAAGACGAGATTTTCACTAAAACCTGAAGGAAGCCAGGGAGGTGAAGATGAGGGAGTGAATCCCTGGAACCCATGGAGGACAGCCAATGAAAAGGCACGGACTGTCTCGTCTGTGGAACATCAGGGAAGCCGGTGTCATTAGATAAATGTAGAGAGGAGTAGAGTTTAAGAAGTGACTGAATATTGTTAATTATGTTAATACTCACTGAACCAGCTACTGCTCTTTTCCCTCTGCCTTCAGTTGATGTCTTCACTGGATAAATGTCGTTCTTTTATATCATTCTGGGGAGGATGAGCAACTTCTTAATTCTTCAAGGAGTATCTAACTCTCTCCTTTTCAAGAAAAGTCTCAGATTTGTTTTTTAATAGCCAGCATTTTAAGATTTGCATATTATCTCACTTTAGCCTTACAACAACACTGAGAGGTAGATGATAGTATCCTCATTATATGGATGATGACACCAAGGCAGTCCTCCATGCTCCATCATCCTGACACAAGGGTCATATTTTACCTCCTCCATCTTGGATCCTACTTTTCCCTTTGAAGCCTCGAATCCATTTCCTTTCTAAGCCCTCCCTTCCCCCTAACAACATGGAGTTCGGAGGTGTTGAATCCCTCACCTTTCTGTGTAGAAGGCAAGAGGGAGATGAGCCTACACTGCCTTCCCTATTGGTACTGCCTTCTTGACTTTGTACAGCCTAGCCCCCATCGATGGAGTGCAGTCCCTTTTCTCTTTTTAGAATCCTAGAGGATTCCTCAAGGATTAGGTCACATGCCATTGTCTACAGGAAATCTTTAGTTATCTATTGTTAGTACCAGACCTCATGTTATCAAGTATATTATTTGCCTGTTTGCATTGTGTCTTCCCATTAGAAGGCAAGTGTCTTGAAGGAAGGGATTGAGCTAATGAAAAGTGGATTGGGCTGGCTTAGGCAGTAGGAGTAGTGAGTTCTTTCTTCAACAGGTCTTCAAATGTTTGCTGAATGAGCACTCGTAGACAGTAGGTAGTGGGTGTTCTTTTTCAGGTTTGGGTCGCACTAGATGGATGCTGGGGCCTCATCTAACATAGTTTCTGTGTTTTTATCTCCCCACCACCATGGTCAGTATTTAATAGATATTTGGACTGGCCTGCTAGTTTGTGTTCATAGGAA